GAACTTCCTAGTTCTGATAGATAATGTACGAACAATCCAAATTTAGGGACTATATGTACAACTGGGTGGGTCATTATTGCCATGTACAGTATATGGTGTTGATAGGGTAGTTACTTCAAAAACATTTTTGCAGTTTACAACCTCGTTCGCGATAAAGTTTATACCGCGTTGTTGTATATAAATCGCGGAGTACAATCGGATTTCCCACTTTTCCCTTTTATCATTGACAAGCACAATGTTATTGAGTGGCTATACATATCTCGACCCAATTACCAAGTCGTTTCCATGGTTTTTTATTGATTAAATCGCACAAATATTGACTGCGTTGATGGGTGAAATTAGGACATTTATCTCCGCGGCCATGGGTAGATGTTGACGATAAAAAAGAACAGCTTTAAACTAGATTGTCGTTATAATCGCACTTGTCCGTGACAATCGGTTTTCGCCGGATCCCTAAGATCTTGATCAGCTGACTAATGGGTAATGGAATCCAGAGTTCTGAAAATGCGATGTAACGTATACAATAATATTGTGCAATCGTTTTCGTATATAGGCGGCGGTAGCCTTAATTAATCATGTCATAACTTTCAACTTTATAGACCTTAGACGCAAATGACCACCACTGAAGATCTCGTTGAGAGCGAGATAACCACGAGAATGTGGAAATCCGTTATACTGTTCATATTTGTATTTCGCATACATTGTGTGTACTTTGTAACAGATGCTACTACCGTTGTCATCATCGAGTCTCACTTTCGAGCATGATAAACCCAGACTTTTATTATCCCTTGTTTAGCGAACCCGTCGAATAAACAGGAGCCGAAAATAAAATAAAAATAAAATTTTATTACAGCGTAATTTCTCGCGTCCGCCGACTTGTAAGTGCAAAAAATTGATATAAAAAACTTATTTTTAACTTCATTTTTTTTCCGGCCGCCGCATAACAAACCCAAGTTGCATTTTCGTGGGAGTATCATGATCAAAGTACCGAAGTCTCGCGCAGATGAGAAACAAGGTTATACATGAAATAACATTTTATTTCATTTCTTCTCTCCGATCAATGATCTCACTTACAATTCTTTGAGAATCACACAAATCTAATGGAAAAAAAGAATTAATTTTATTTTTTTTCCGCCCTCCTCAAAAAAATAAATTGTCTTATAAAAACTCGAGAAACAAGGAATAAAAAAAGTCTGGCCTAACAACGTAAAATGTGTGTCAGAGGACGAATGCAAACGTTTTAACCTGCAAAGGCCTGACGTGCAAACAAGAACAGTTCGAAAGTTTCAGATATTATTACTAGCACCCCAGCATGTGTACGTCATTGCAATATCTATGCTAAAAATTATGTACGAAAAAACAATCATGGCGATATCTGAATGAACTTTGGCATAATGGATCAAAATAACATCGTCCACTTTGAAGTATTTCACCGGAATTTCTCAAAACAGGATTAGGTTCAGGTGTTCTTATGACGTTTGTCGACTTTGAAGAGAACCGTATCCCCGGGAAACCTGCGTGAACACAACATACCGGTCATATGTTGAAGGATCGCAACAAAGTGTTCATCTATTAAACAATACGTCATATATGATTGATATCCACGCCAAGTTCGAAATAATCGTAGGAGTGACGTCTGAACCATTGAAATCTATCAAAGGCTACATGAATTTTCCACCAATGGCCACGGATTTACCGAATCAGGGAATATGGTGGCGAATGTTACATGGAAAGAAAAAGCTATCTATTCACCGAGATATTTGCGTTATAATACAATGTAAACTAGTAAAAGATGCCAGGTTAATATATAAAAAAATGGACGTAGGTAATCGTAGGTAAGGTATATAATGATTATATTGAATTATTACCAAGGACTACAATTCCCTACTACTGAACTTATATTCGACATGCTATAGGAAAGCGTGCCATGTCTGTGCATGTGTGTGGAATGAATAAGAACAGACGTTTGATCAGCAGGTGTTACACACATAACAAACAAACATACATAATTGTTTTACTAAAACAAGTGCTCGATTGTATTCAACGCTGACTAAAATGTATTACCGACATCCCTTTCTAATAAAAAATTATAAGGATTCCACTCATCGAAAAGCTAACGGAAATTACATGAGGTCAGTTTTATTGTCTTGTTGAACAATTCGACATCCTGAAAAAAACAGTACTTGACTGAAGCAGGTGGGTCTTTTGTCTTTGTGACACACCAAATACTAATATGATGAAATTATGAACTTTATACACACTTAATTTATAGTACGTACCAGTAATCCAAAGGGCATGCGCCTTGTAGTTCAATATTCTATCAAACGAATATATCGGGTAACCGAGCAAAATAAAAACAATTTTAGCTCGCAATAAAGTATAATACCGTGCAATATATAAATAATTTTGAGTATGTTGGTAGGTAGATTCCATACTGAGTGATTTTATATGGAGATGACGCAATGTTATACGAGTACGCCTTTCCTATAATTTGCGCCCTCTAGTGACAAACGCATCTGTGACGTAAATGAGTAGGAGGAATTCCATTCACAGTCGATATTGTTTTTATCTGTAGTCCAATGATAAAAAAAACATTGTTGTCAATTTAAATGCGGTCAATGCTTACGCCATTTTGATGTCATAGAAGCACTTGTCGCTAGAAGGCACAGCTTTCAGAAAACGTGTACTATCTTTGTAATTCATATAATGACGTAAATTAAAATGTTCCAAATCTGTTCAGGACTTACCGGTTTTAGGGTTTCTCGTTTTGACTCCGCTGTCCTCACTACTTTCGCTTACACTGTCATGTATTGCTTCTGCCTCGTTTGTGGACTGTGTTGAATAGCCACTAATGCTACTAAAAGTCTGTCCTTGCGTTTTTAAGGCATCTGCCGCTCCAACCAAAACTCTTTTCCTCTTCTTCGGAAGTTTTGCTCTTGCTTGAGCGTGTGTGTAGTATAAGGCAAAGTTATTCACGATAACCGGAACCGGAAGAGCAATTGTCAACACACCGAAGACACCCGCTATTGCGCCAACAAGCATCCCCGATGGCGTGCGCGGAACCATGTCTCCGTAACCAACTGTCGTCATGGTGACGACCGCCCACCAGAAACCGATTGGTATGTCCGTGAAATCGTTCGTTTGACCCTCCTCGGCTAACCACTTCTCGGCGTAATATTCCAAACTGGCAAAGACGAGAACTCCTAACCCCAAGAATATGATAAGGAGTAGTAGTTCTTTAGCGCTGGCCCTGATTGTATGCACAAGAATTTTCAATCCGCTGAAATGTCTCGTGAGCTTACCGATACGAAATATCCTGACGATTCTCGCAAAGCTTAGGATATCATTAGCCGTGCCGCTCACATTGACGTTAGCAATCTTACATATGGCGTCCACATAAAACGGTACGATAGCCAGAAAATCGATAATATTCTGTGCAGTTTTATAGAAGTCCAGTTTACTTGGTGAAAATATAAACCGAACTATAATCTCAACGGTGAAGAAGGTAACACAGACGGCTTCGATGTAAAATAGTTCGTCCCTTGGTTTATAGTCTATTATCTCAGTGGTATTCGTTTCTGCATTTTCTGAGTAAACCGGCTCTTGTAAATCACTGACCGTTTCCAGGCAAAACGTTGTTATGGAAACACAAACGAACATCAAGGATATCACTGCCAAAAGCTACAGAAAAATAACGAGGAAATGTTTTGTCATTAAGTGTTGTGTTTATATTTCACCCAAACAAAAGTGTTCTCTGGTACGGGCGGTCGGATTAATTGGCTGGGTGTGTATTGGTCACATGTTGACTGGCAACAAGGATAGTAGTCGCAGGCAAATTTGTAGACGTTTGTATAAGGTAGTTTATATTTCATATGTCATTTCCCCGATTTTATACAATAGGCTTTTATAATGAGTATCGAATTGAAAAAGGTCAAATACAGTGTTTACATAACGTAGATAAACTTAGCATTGAAATACTAGTATAATATTGCCCGGCCACGATAAGACAATATAAAATGATGATAACAAACCACGTGCATAGGTGAATGTTTCCTTTAATCAGGTGAATGTTTCCTTTAATCTTTTAGAATTGTAACGCAACAGTGTTGTCAAATAACAAACTTGGAACCATGGGTAGATTTAGGAATTATATATTCCCTCCATTTGACGTCACATATTACCCTCAATGCAATGCGATGATTACGTCACTGTAAATAAAGGCACATGTACCACAACCACAACAGAGTGGGTGCGATGATTGTAATGATATTCTACAACTTTCAATTCTATATAAACATGTCCTTTTAAGTTACTTATTCAAATGACCGTTAAATAGCAATCTAATTGAAACAGTCTTGTAATCTCGATCACCGACCAATTCTAATAGAAAGAAGGAAAGTCTCTACCTACAGACTCGGAATATTTTAATTAGATTGGTCCAGTATATCATGCACTCCC